ATTAGACAGCGTTGTAAGAATCAGGTTGTTTATATTGCAATATTTATCCCTATTTAAGTCGGATCTATAAGTTTAACAATCTTGGTTGTCAAATACACATAAATACAATTAGTCGAATATTTTCTTCAATTTGTTTTTTCCGTGCTCAAGCAAAAAACAATTTACAGAAAAATTTCTTTTCTAGATTGGGGTATTTACAATATCGGGTATTTCACATAGGGATTAGATTGCAATAAAAAGAACCTTTACATTATTTTTAAGCCATTTGACGGATACACTATGCGAACGTTTAAAAATAAATATAAATATCCATAGTGCATAATATTGCATGCAAAAAACGTGATTTTCATTTCTAAATTAAACTGCACATTATATAAAAACAAGCGTTTCACTATATATCATAGTTTTTAAACTATCAGCTAAATGAGTTAATGAGAATTTCAATCCTCCAATTAGTCTGTGCGATATCTCTGTATCGCTCTTATATGCAGGCGACGCCTGATAATCATGGCTCGTCGTTAATTATGCGTGATATGATTCATAAATGTACATGATAAAATACTCTTTTGACATAGCTTTGATACTTGTATCAGAGGTAAAAGGAGGTTTGATTCATTATTACTTCCTCTATTGAGAAACAGTGATGTGCAGCACATTTTCATACACGGCAATCGATAAAGAAAAAGAAAATTAACGTTCAATATAAACACTCTGACTTTGTGACTTGCTCACAAAATGTATGCGTTATGTAAAATCTTCCTGTCGATCTCTAATATATACGCTGTCAGCAATGACGCGTCATTCCTATACTTCTCGGACAATTATACATCTGATATAAATATCTGACGAATTTTTAATTACTCAGGTACATATACATATATAGATATATTTAAGAAAAATATAAAGCTAGAAGTATATATATATATATATATCAAGTTTTTGAAGAATCGTCGTAAGTATGAAATTTTTATTAGAGAATGTTACGTGAAAAGAAAAGTCTTTCTCGTTAAGAAATTCTCCGAATGAGACGTCTTGTCGCAAATAAATGTACCTTTTTAATGGTTCGAGCAATCAGCTCGTTAGCGTTATGTCTGACATATATTCTTCTGAATGTTACTGAAACAACCTTTGTGCAAGAATTATTTAGTAAGTGTTCGTAAGAAGCGCTTCCATAAAAAATTTTGCAATGAAACAGCGAAAAAGATATGCCAAAAATACAAATTGGATTCTTGTCACAAGAGTATCTTGTTGAATATATTCTATCCGTTGAGAGATGAAACATCGCGTGAGTATTCAAAGTTGTGAGTACAAGCATCTAAAACTTTCATTACAAAAATATTGTAATAATATCGTGCGTCGCGTATGTACATCTACTGTCACGTTCATCAACGTTCATCTGCGTTAACTTGTGGATGACCAAGAGCCGGAAGGTGAAAAGGAAAGAGGAAAGGATTCATACACTCTTACAAAAGTCTAATTTAATACTGAAAGATAACGGTTAATTACTTATCCTAAATATTAAAAGCACTGTTGTTGAGTGCTCAAAAAGTAATTAATCCACCTTTAAGTATTAAATCTCTGTAAGAGTAGACCGTCTTCTTTTTCAATCATTTTAAACGCTTGTACCTCCATAATATACAAACACTTAGCGAAACTATGGGTGCGTTCCGAGTTACGCATGAAGCGCATGATGCATCATTTATCCTTGTTGTTCACCAAATAATAAAGAAGAATAAAACGATACATCGTGTGCTTCATGCGCAACTCGGAACGCACCCTATGAAACGTTAGCAATTTACAGTTGACATACAGTTTGGGATACTTCGTATCGTTATATATATATATATCTCAATCTTACATATATGTATTATATACACACTAAAATATATATGTAGGATTGATGAGTCCGGACCTGTGAGTTCCTCTTCGAAAAAGAAACATGTAACACCTAGCCGTATTATTTTCTACGTCATATTTTCACTGCCAATGTATGTCTTTCTTTTCTTTTTCTTATATATATATAATTTTTTTTTTCGTTTTTTCGAAACGTTTCGTCAACTCAAGCGTTAAAGAATTGGTTTCTGTCGGCCGACTTCTCAGCTAGCCTAGGCTTGGGCTAGCAGCTAGAGTTTCAAGCAAGCAAGGCACAGGAGCACTAAGGGCTCAACGTGCTAGGAGGCACTACTTAACAGTTCCATGCTCTTAATGCCTCGTCAACAGCAGCACCAACAAGTTAACACTGGAAACGAAAATATCTAGAATGTGCGGCATGAACAATTAGTAGCGATTTAAATAGCATCGTAAAAACTACCGTCCGCATTAAGATATACCGTCGATTTGTGTGTACGTACGCGCACGCCAGCACGGAGAAAGAACGACGAACAGAAACATCTCATCGAGTGGATAATCGCACACACAATACCGCATGCGGCCCACGATTGCAAATAACAGCGCAGATCCTCCAAACAAGAGATTCGCATCGTACCCATGCAGCATGGAGGCTCGCGGAAACATCACGGAAAAATTACAATATTTATATATATATATATATATATATATATACACACACACATACACGCAATATTGCTGCAACGTTGTTGCAAGAAAGCAGTAAAGGGTGCTTCCTTTTAATGACACAAATATCATTCCATCTTTCATAAAATTCAGAGAGTGACAAAGATAGAATAACACTTATGTTACCAAATAAATCTAGGCTCCTCTAGATCTCAGGAATGCAACATGTAGCAATGTTAGGATATCTATATAGTTGCTACAATGTAAACATTGTAAACTAAAAGCTTCCACGCCATATGGGGCAGATCGTCGTTATATTTATTAGAAAAGTTCAGGTACGGAAGAAAACGCGTAAGACCGTTTGTGCATCATTTTTTGGCATTTCCTGGTCGACACACCTAGCACGCGTGTCATATACGCGTGCAATCATATTGTCGAAAATGCAATATAATTCCTCGTTTATTCTCGATCTCTTCGAAATGAACAAAGAATCGGAAGTTTCTTTCGCGTTTCATTTGTGCGATTGTGCGATGTCACGCCGAGATATCGCAGAAACTCTACAAAAATATACTCTATGTAAGTATATGTATATACACGTATCCTGCTAGGGAAATGATATCTTCGTTTCTCGTAAGATCCGCATCAAATCATTGTAGTGTGCGTACAATTTAGTTTCTCAATTTTTTCAGTCTTGAAATATTTTTTTTGTTATTGTTGTATAATTTTTGGCTCATGCCCTCCGCGTGTATTAGGTGCGCATACGTACAGATTGGCCGTTGCGTATACAGCAGTGTGTGTTAACATTGAAAGTACACTAACATACATATTATCGATTTCTTATGAAGATATATGGACTTCTCCTCGAAATTGTACATTGTCCCATTTATCATAATGCATTTTTTTTGTGTTATTTACGTATGTAAACGTGAATGAGATACCTCATCCTGCGCGGTCTCTCTGTGACGTATCTGTTAGGTACCGTATAGCGTTTGCAACATTGAGATAACAGATTTGCTGACTAAGCTACTATAACTAATGAGAAGGAAGAAAAGAAACAGTTAAATGTTTATGTTACTTGTGTACCACAATTCCGAGTAGAATTTTGCCATGTGTGTTTAATAACTCGTGCCGATAGCTGTTCGGATACGAATAAACACCGTGAAATAAAATGAAATCACGCTGAAGCTTAAATGAAACTTACAGGCCCAATTGCATACTCGCTTGTCTTGGCAAATACATTCGATAATTTATTGTTTCGAAAAAAAAGATCTCTGCGCCCGTATATATTACTATATTTATTTGTTAAAAAACTCATATTAATTGAATTACGAAAATGCGTATTATTTATGGATGGAACGCTTTGATTAATGACTCATACATTTTCTATAAATTTTAGCCTCATCTATTAGCAATCATAGTTATTACTTTGTAACTAATTCGTAAATTAGTTACAATTGATAAATAACATCTTATGCAAAATTCGAAAAATGTCTAATTATAATAATTAACGTCATTTAGATTAATTGTAAACATGAAACAACAATTGCACGTATTTAAACGTCTAATGTATTATGCTACTTTATATATTTTCCCCACATGTTATTTCTTTCAATCACTTTATACATCTAATAATTTGTCATCATTAATATAAAGTGTCTCTCGCCAAACGTACTTCCTTTGAACTGTACTTTCCTTGATCAATTCGAAGTCGCTCTTTCCTTTGCAAAGATGTGATCGAGATCAAAGATGAAAAGAGAGTGTTTAATTGTAAATATAGATAGAAAATCATATTCTTAAGTTAATTTTAAATAGAGACTGTATTTCAATAGAATTTTAATTTGAAGTTACAAGGTGATCACTTTAAAGGTTAAAAAATTGTAATAAATTTCGGTTATCCGTGAAGGAAAAATTGACTCAAAATTGGTCGCGATTTAGAGGAACGTCGCGCTTAGCGAGGGACACTTTATTATTATAGATACTGAAATAATAAAAATAGCTTTTTGATTAATGATCATACTATTAATGCATACTTATAATTTTCATTATCACAAGATACCATCTGACTCATACTATGCATTATCCCATATAAAACCTCCAGTTCAAAATAAACCAACATTAATCGCTCTGCACCTGTTACAGGTTGCGTCCACGTAACGATGCAATCGGGCCTCTCTCTTTCTGTTTCCGTTATACATCTGACACTCTGCCTTCGTCAAATAATATTATACAACAGCATGGCCATGCAAGGGTGGAGAGCAAAGCTACCATGCCTCATAGAATTCATGAAAGAACGTTTGTAGAGTAGAATGGATGATAGATCTAGATGCTGCAGCGTAAAGCAGCAGCAAGGAAGGGATCGACTGTCAACTGACAGTTTCACCTCCGTCTTACTTGAAAGCAAACCCCATCAAAATCATCATCCTTACTTCAGCACCTCACCAGGCCTGTCTTGACGATACGTCTACACAAGCTAAAAGAACGTCCATTTGTCAATGCCTTCCAATTGAGAAAAAGGTTCTACTTTAATGGGATGGATTGTGATCAATTCAGAGATGTGGATACGCGCGTGTGTAACACCGTAATTTCTTCGTATTCACGAGGTATTCACCTCACCGTCGAGGATCCGAACGTGAAATTGTGCTGCACTCAACAACACTTTCACCACCGATTGACCTCGGTTGTTTATAAAAACTACGGAAATTCTCGTGCGACAATTTTTTCTTCATATTGACAAGGCGAAATGCGAAATATTGAAAAAATAACTACTATATATATATGATCGAACGAATGTTCAAGAATCTTGGGAAAGCAAGCTGTCCGATGGGTGATCGTAACCGAGATACATAATAATTAAAGTTATTATCGCAGATTTAGCTGTGTCTCTCATTTCACGTTCTTCATGCGAGAACTTGGACAATAAAGTTCGCGGTTGAGAAGTATTCCGGCATATTATGTATACATTATTGGTCATTTCGCCAGAATTTAAAAGCATTTTAAGTAAGACGTTGCAAGACAATGATGAAATATCGAAATACGAGTTTCATTAGAAACAGATCGTTCAAAAGCGGATATTGAGCGGATAGAAACAAGTATTACATTAATAAAATAGCGATTAATACAATAGCGCGAGGAATATAAAAAGAAATATTTTTATCCGTGTGACGTTCAAATTGGTTCCTTCATTTAACTCCTACACTTGCAGAAAGACTAAATAAAGAAGGATTATTTCTACATGCGTCAAAACGTTGAACGATTTGCTCGCAGTGTCCTACGAATGTGTACTCCATGTTAATAATCAATCTCGGTGAAAGCGAATGCGTTTGATACATTGGTACTTGAGCATCGAGGTAAAGCGCTTGACGAGTGACTCACATTTCCGCGATTGACCGCGTGGTATAATTTGGCACATGCAACTTTAAAGCTCTCGCATTGACAAAGATCATGAATGATCCTCTATGCGTTTTTCGCTCAACGCGATTTCCGTTGAAATTCATACGACGTGAAATTCATAACGCGCGAGCGATCGAAGGGTTCGAGCAATACTTTAGAGCGATCGTGATTAGCCATTTTGATCAGCGATCGCTCTGTCGATCGAGTATATATAATCAGTTAAATGGCTTTTTGGATTCGCAATCCTTCGATTCTCGTTACGTTAGTTCTGATGCGATCAAAGCGCACGATGCGGTACGATGCCATCGGATTCAACTTGCGTCACCATTGCATTGGAAAGTACACGAAAGCATGTACATACATATATGCATATATATATATATATATATGCACGTATGCGTACGTACATTATATGTGTTATGTACGTATATTAAATATACACGTATAAACACAATCGAGGTATTCGCAAAGTCCTTAAAGAAAAAGAAACTGCGTTCAAAAGAACTGCTGGCAGAAAGCTTAGCACATTCTGCTCTCGAGGTTACTCCTTGCCAGAAGGTTCTACGCATCGATAAACTGCAAAGTGTCAAATAGGTCACATTTTACCGTAAATGAACAGAATAGCTGACGTCCCTAACGGCCGAGGAAATCGTTCAGCGGAAATAAGTAAGTTATTTATGCGCGCTTAATACCGGGATTTAGTAAGTGACTTTAACACCGAGCCTACCATGTTGTGGGCGCCAATAGCAGCAGGCTAGGTACAACGCCAGAATAATCACCAGGACCTCGATGAAGACCAGGGTAGCGGCCACACCGATTACAATCGCTGCATTCTCCTCGATGGCTGTCATTATGGCCTTGTAGCAGCCCTATAAATAAGCAATGTAATAAAATAATCATATATACGTCAATTTTTATACAACATATCAATCAAAATTAATTTTTCTCTTCCCCCCCCCCACCCCTCCTCAAAAGAAAGAAAAATTATCTCAAAGTGTCACTGAACTGAAAATTCAGGCAGATTTTCGTGTATTAATACTTGTCTTTCTCAAAAGCGAATTTTGAGTGTAAAAAACCCTGCTTTTACAAAGTTTTAATCTGACAATGAGATTTAAACAGCAGAAAGTGGTATGATCGATAATTACGTTGATCAATATCCGAATAAATAAATAAAAAATGAATAGGAATACTAATATGAATACACTTTATTGGTATTCGTAGAGAAACGTTATAAAACGTACTGAATGCTGTATCGAACATGATACTCAAAATTTCGAGCGATTATTGTATATTAATAAATGTTCTATGAAAACATTGTTTGTTTATTTTTTTAGTCTCTTTGAAATTTCAAACCACGTTCAAAAATACTTAACAATTGACTACTTTGATACTTAAAATGTCAGTTCGTAAATGATGCATAATAGCAGTTTTTAATCAAATACGATTTTGATTGCGAATAATCCTTATATAAATATACTAAAATTATATATCCATGCTGAACTTCATAACTCGAAAAGATCATAAATAAAAAAAATTTATTTATTAACCGTTCATGATCACACTTCTGAAAAGCCATACGATGGTTACTCTGAGTTAAAATGACCCGACTCATCTTTAAAGTGTTACCAAATCGACAGTATTAGTTGCAATGATTTAAAAAAAAAAATACAGTATATAATTTCATCCTTTAAGAAAATGGAACGGTGGCGTTTTCGTGAAAAATTTAATTTTAACACAAAAAAAAAATCGTAAACATGTATTAGAATTTAGCGTGAAAGACGATGCTCGGACCATTTTGACCCAGTGTGACCATGAAGAGTTAAACTTTCTTGTAACTTCAATCAGTTGTGAGATATTTGCTCGAACATCTATGGACAATCACCTTCTATATTGAGCCAACATAAATGCAATACACAATATTATATGTATACTGCCGACATTACTAACTATCGAAAATTTACATATAGAAATAAAATTAAATCTAAAGAAAATATATCTAATATGCAGAATATAAACAAATATATGTTTTAAAAGATATTTTTTTGTTTTGAACATGATTTTTTCTGTTTAAGACATACATAGAACATTAAAAATATGTTTTAAACGAATAAAGGGAATGTTTAATTTTTTTTTTAAAACAATTCTGCTCAACCCTGACGGGATGAACTATA